AAAAAAAAGTAAGGATGGAAAAAGATTTAGCAAAGTAGATGTGCCTACCATCCTGCGAACAAATTCAGAAACTACGGTAAATGTTAAGAAAATCACATATTCAAGTAACAACGAATAAAAAAAAACCCTTCACGAGTATGTCCATGCAACAAGAGAGGGTCGTCAAATCGAAAGGCTCGAGAGCGTACTGCATAGCATGCGATGTATGAGAACATAAATATATTTGCGAAACAGGGATAAAAATCAGCATGCGAACCAAGGAACATCAAAGACTACACAAGATAATAGATACAGAAAATTTAAATAAAACGAAACACAGTGCACAGAATGGACACGAGATCAACTGGAAGGCAATGGTAAGAAAGGTCCAATGCCGTTAAACCAGGACACGGACGAGCAGAGGCCATTGATATCCATAATGGAAGAAATTTAATGAACATGAGATCAAAAGAATTAAAGATAACTTTATAGAAGTGGGTTGACCTCGTTGTCGCAACTTGGTCTTTTGATCAAGGAGACTTAGTAGATCCAACCTAGTCCGAATTCGTCTGCCATAGTAGTTATCATGATTTCCCGTCTCTGGCAGTGGACTTGCTTTATTCTCAAACGTTTCGCCTGCATCATCCGTGAGTTTTCCCATTCTCCGCACCAAGCTAAGAACGCGTCAGAGGCAAATGAAGTCAATCCCTCGACAAACGTTCTGCCGAAAACGTTAAACTAAAACTCCTCTTTCTGTCCTGGCCTATCTATCTACTCTTTACCCTCTTATCTCACTGCTGCTCTATCACAACTTCTCACTTGTTTACGTTCCACTCGTCAAAATGAGTGGCCTTTTGTCGCAAATCTAGTGTGGCCTCATCACACTCGCTATTTACCCCGACCCCTCTCTTTCGATCACCTGATCCAACTCGGGCCTCCAATCAGGATCCACTGATTGTCTCCTAGATCCATTCCTTATTTTTCTGTTAAACTGATTTCACTCGGTTCTAGTCCCTGTGTACATTTTACTCCAGGCGCTATTTCTCAAGGCCCTAGAAGCATGTACACTACCGCTTCACTAAGCAGAGCGCCTAAGCACTGATTCGCATGCTTGCAGATATCAGGCCTTCCCTCCACGAGTCCTTTCCTTGATTAAACCTATTTTATCTGAGCAAACTGTGGACGCCTATCTTAAGTCGCATGCGGCATCTAAAACGGATTTATAGTGCATTTTGGCCATAACGCCGAATTTACATGACGGTTTGCTTATCCGTCTGCCCAGCTCCCGGACTTCCAGGCCCATAATGTTGTGCTAGTTTATTCGAGATGGACATCATGCACTGACAACACCTTCGCTTTATTGACCCAAACCCCTTCCCCCCTTTCTTAATCACGGTCCCTTTTCCTCCGGTTAGCGGAAGATCCTTGACCCAGGCGTCTCCTGTTTGCTGGTCTTGCTCTATTCTTGTTTTCTCCGAGTTTGCTTAGGCAGTAGGTAAATTTATCGCTAACTCTATCTTCCTCCAATCTCCTGTTCATTAGATTTTTCTCCCCAAGGATGTCAATGGCCTCCCTAATCTTCCACTTCCTTGTGTTG